TGGCTTTGAAAACAGGAAACATGCATCACGGCTGAAATCCTCTCGCGTGGCTGGGGGAATGGCCTAACATTTGGCCCCCGAGTCGCAGGAAGTTAAGAAATCTCCGTCACTGTGATCGGTTTCATGCCTAGTCACACAACGGGGCATCTGGCAGGCAACGTCCGCGGAGCTTCCTTGCCGTACAGAAATTCGCAAGTAAAAGGTTATGCCGTTGGCCTCCCGCCGTGACAGGATCTCAGCCCCTCCTCACCCTCCGTGTGGTCATTGTCCGCATTGCGATCCTCGCCACGTTGACATCTTGTCTGGTTTTGGATTCTCGCCCACAGGAAATGGTCATCTCGGGGCTGCAGCCCGAGACTGCCTACTCCATCACGGTGGCCGCTTATACCATGAAAGGCGACGGTGCCCGAAGCAAACCGAAGCTGGTGGTGACCAAGGGGGCAGGTGAGTGCCCTTCTCTCCCAGTGTCCCTCCCTTTCGTGGCGGGTTGCCCTTCTGCTGAAGCCGGGAACACACCGTGTCCTTCAGACCTGCAGCTGAAGCACTCACAATGCAGGAGGTTGGTCCTATAAACAGGTTGCCCTCTTAGGGAGAGCCCCAAACAGAGACGTCCCCACCCGTGGGATATTTTCCCTCGGTCCCCCCCCCTTTGGAAAGATTTACTGCAGTGGTGGTTCTTCTGTGGTTTTGATTCCTTCCGCTCGGTTCTTGTTTCACGACCTCCGGATGCATGGATACATCCATCACTGAGAGTGGGTTCGCCGACACAGATATCCTGAGCCTCAAACTCCGTTTCAGCATATCAGGCAGGATGTTTAATTATTCTCTTTTTCCTTTCACATTCGGTGGAGGTGGTGAGTGAGGATGGCTGTCTCTGGAGCCCAAGTTGAGTTTCAAGAAAGGGTTCAAATAGCCGGCCTGTTCTGCAGCAGCAAAGTCTTTTGGTTTTTTTTTTTTAAGCATGAGATTGAGACTCTGTTACCTTGCCCTCATTGCCAGAAGCCTCTTTGCCCACTGGCAGGGGGATCACATGGATGACAACCCCTGGAGATCCTCAGAATGTCTGGAGAGCTGTTTTTGCCATCCACTCATGACAGAGGTCTTCACAGAGTGTTAAGTTCGGACTAAAAGCTAGCGCTTTGGCTCTCCTTGGGAAATTAGATTTCAGGGAAACAGCTCCTCCAGTCCTCAGCCCTTGCCACGTACACCTCCGGCAGAGGTGTGGAAGCCGGTGGGTCTCCAGATTCTTGCTGGAACACATGTCCCGTCGTCCCTCGCCATGGGCTGCGGCCAATGAAAGGTGCAGCTGAGCCACATTGCCACTTTTGGAGTACAGGGTGTGGCGTGTTGCTTCCCCTCTGGGTGTACTGTGTGGACTAAAACTCCCATCAGCCACAGCCAGTGTAGGTGATGTAGGGGATTGACAAGACCTGCCATCCAGCAAATACCTCTAGAGCCATGATGGTCTTTCTTCTCTATGTCTCACTTCCAAATTCATCTTTTCTCCCAAACTCTGCTTAGCTCTGGTCCCTGTTTCCTTATATTTTTTTTGTTTATAAAAACCCTGGTGTTACATACAGCACTGATGTTACTTGTTTCCTTATATTTTTTTGTTTATAAAAACCCTGGTTTTTAGGGTTCTCCCACCCCCAGTCACACTCCGCCTGCCGTTTTTGCTGTGCAGCGCATAAAGCACTCAAAGAAAAGGTCTTTCTGTGATTCTGCAAAAATGCTATTTATATCACTTCCAATATATAAATAGAGCCTTTTTTTAAAAGGAAAGAAAGAAAGAAAATTATGTTCCAAATTGCGGTTTTTAAATAAATCATGAGCTGCCTGATCAAAATAGTGATTGCACTGGGATTTAATTTCAAATACGAAAATGCAGAAGAGAATGCAGAAAGGGGGGAAAAAGACTGCAATGTTGAGTGCTCTTGTATCAACCAATCAAACCAACTGAGAGACAGAATTTCTGAATGCAGTGAATTACCATGATTTAGTTAGTTGCAGGTCCAAATACGGTAGAGGGGGAGCAGCTCCTAATTCAGTGATGCACTGGTGCAAACTGGATGTTCGTTTCCCCTCTTGATTTGAAAAGAATGACCAGTTAGTTGAAGGGTGGGGGGAGAGGATCACATAAGAAGTAACACAGTCCCTTAATGGGACTCAGTATTTGGTCAGCCAAGTTGAAATCTTATATTCCCCCCCCCCAAAAAAAAAAAATTTCCCTGCATTTCTGTTAATATATGATACACATTTCTGATAAATCCTGCATTAGCAACTGGTCATCTAAACCTCCTGGTAGATCGGCCATAGGTAGAATGCTGAAATGATACATCTTGGAACAGCAGAGTTGGACGGGACCTGTAAGGATCATCCAGTCCAGCCCCTGCCAAGGAGGCCCGGTGGGGGATTCGAACTCTCCACCTAAACCACTGAGCTGTTGTGATAGGAATGATATACGCAGTTGAAGTCAGATAACATTTATGCAGACAGAATCTGTGCTGAAAGATCATCGGGTGCTTTTCCCGTTTCTTTTCTAGTCCCTGGGAAACCAATCCTTTCTGTCCACCCGACGCAAGAGAACACTCTCCTCGTGAAATGGGAGCCTCCCCTGAATGCCGAAGGCCAGCTCTTGGGTTACCGCCTCCAGTTTGGCCGCAAGGACATCTCCCCGCTGGCCACCTTGGAATTCACGTCCCAAGAGGAGAAGTACACGGCCGCCAGCATCCACAAAGGGGCCACTTACGTCTTCAAGCTGTCCGTGAAAAGCCGGGCCGGCTTCGGGGAGGAGGCGGTCCAGGAGCTGACGATCCCGGAAGACGTCCCCAAGGGTTACCCCCAGATCCTCGAGGCGAGCAACGTCACTTCCCGGTCGGTCCAGATCAACTGGTTGCCCCCGGTCTTAGCCGAGCGGAACGGGGCCATCGTCAAGTACACGGTGGCCTACCGGGAGGCCAGCGCCGCCGGGAATCCGCAGGAGAAAGAGTTACCCCCGTCTCCCGAAAATTCGTACACTCTGAATGGCCTCAAGCCCAACACGGCTTACGATGTTAAAATCCGAGCCCATACCAGTAAAGGTCCCGGGCCATACAGCCCGACCGTCCAATACCGGACGTTCCTTCTTGATCAAGGTAGGGACTTGGTGCGTTCTCCTCTGTCTGTCTCTTCCTTCTCTCTGGCTCCAGCGAGACGGAGGAGCCCCAAAATTAATCAAAATAAAAAACCAACCATGAGCCAAACATACGGGGTAAAAAAACCCAGCCTGCCTACATAGATAATCATTAGCTCCTTGCCGGCTTGAAGATGAGGCGTGTGAGTACGCTAGGAAACTCGATGCAACAAAATAGGTGTCTCTTGATCTATGTAAAAGTCCGGCAGTGCTGCTCTGCCACCGACAGGTAAGTCCCGTTTGCTCTTTCTTCCGGAAAGTCCAGTCCAGGCAGCCCTCTTGATTGACAGCTGGGCGGAGCAGTGGCGATCCCAGGTGGGCGGAGTCTTATCTTCAGCTTTCTCTCTCTCTCTCTCTTTTGCTCGCTCGTTCTCTCTTTCGGTCTACTCCTTTTTTGTTTTCATTGTTGTGGTTTTTGTTGCCGTCCAAGGACGGGAAAAGGGGAGGCAAGAGGAAAAGCCTACGATTCCACCGAGCACCACTTTCCTTATCAGCAGCCAATCAGGAGCCTGGTTTTGGGGTTGGGGGTGGGCAGAGGGGTGAAATACCTCCCGGGAGTGTAACAGGTTCGGTGGTTCGCCTGGAGAGACGGCCAGCGGGAGCCTTCCGGGTGGGGGCCAAATGGCCTCCAGATGACGTTTCCGAGTCAATGGCATCCACATGACGTTCCATCCGCTCACCGCCTCTCGCTTTCTCCCTACCCTCTGTTACATTTCTCTCCCGGCAGTTTTCCCAAAAAACTTCAAGATGAAGATGGTCACCAAGACCTCGGTGCTTCTGGGCTGGGAATTCCCAGAAAACTACAACTCTCCAATTCAGTACAAGGTGATTGTTGCCTTTTAAAAAGTTGCTTTTTAAAAAAATCATTGCTTTTTTAAAATCTGGAGGCCTAGTTTTCCAAAAACCGAAAAGAGGAGGGTGGGGAGAGGAAATTCTCCTAATGTTTATTAAAACAATGACCTTGGTGTAGCCATAGGAAAGACTTTGCTGCATTGGGAATAGACTTAAATCTGGCATGGCGAGGACGTCTCTTCTTCTTCTTTTTTTGTGATTTTTGTTTGTTTGTTTGTTTTAATAACTTGGGTTAGAGTATGGGATACAGATAGGAGCTTCTTAGAAGAGTGGAATCGAACCTCCAGGGACAGGAGCAGTCTATATGAGATTATTAAAAGCCCTTCATGGACTGAGGGGAGGGATGGAAATTTGACCAACTCTAGTTGAGACACTTAATTTTAAAAAAAAAATACAGTCACCTCTTCCTCATCCCTCGGCTTTCTCGGGACAGATTCGAGAGGAGAAAACGGGCCAGGAGATCGAAGTGGACGGGCGCATGACCAAGAAGCTCATCACCAACCTGAAGCCCCAAACCTCTTACCGGTTCTCCTTGACCAGCCGGAAGAGCGACAAAGGGGATCTCCAGCAGAAAGTCGAAGTCTTGACCGCAGCCAACATTCTCGCCAGGAAACCGGAAGTGTCCTACCGGCACGATATGGAAGGGAACATGTTGTTCAACCTGCCCGAAGTGAAGGGCTCGGATTTCACAGTGCAGTACGTTAAAAGTGTCACGCGGGTGGTCCTGGTTTCAGAATAATTGTAGAATAGTTGAGTTGGAAGGGGGCCTCTCAGGCTATCTTGAATTCCTCTTGAAGGCCGCCACAGCGCTGTAGCGCTCACCACCTCCCAAAGTCATGGGTCCCGTCGTTGTACTACTCTAATTGTTAGGAAGTTTCCCCCCGATATTCAGCCGAAATCTGGCTTCCTGTTGCTTGAGCCCATGATGATGTATCCTGCTCTCTGGGAGGATGGAGGACACGTCCTGCCCTTCCTCTGTAGGACTGCCTTTCTGGTATTTGCAAAGTGATCTCCTATTTCCCCGAGGGACGTGGTGGCACTGTGGATTAAACCGCAGAAGCCTCTGGGCTGCAAGGTCGGAAGACTGGCCGTTGTGAGATCAAATCAACGCAACGGAGTTAGCGCCTGTCGCTTGTCCCAGCTCCTGCCAACCTAGCAGTTTGAAAGCATGTAAAAATGCAAGTAGATCAATAGGTATCACTTCAGTGGGAAGGTCACAGCGTTCTGTGTGTAATGCTGGCCACGTGACCACAGAAATGGTCTTCGGACAAACGCTGGCTCTGTGGCATGGAGACGGGGATGAGCACCTCGCCCTGGAGTCGGACACGACCGGACTCGATGTCAAGGGGAATCTTTACCTTACCTCCTATTTCCCCTCACTCTTCTTTTCTCAAGGCTAAGCATGCCCCTTTTCCCTCCCTCTTCTTTTCTCAAGGCTAAGCATGCCCCGTTCTTTGTAAAGTGTTGAGAACTTTAAATGTTTGGATGTAGGCTCCTTTTGAGGCGGTGTGCCAAGAAAAGAGAGCCACTGTAGCGTAGGGGGTAAAGCGTCAGATGGGGACTCAGGAGACCAGGGTTTAAATCCTGTTTGTCATTGTAAATGAGGTGAGGATTTGGTGGCAGATAAATACACCCGAACTGTAACCCGCAGGGCTGTGTTCCCAGGATTTAACCACCTAAATGCTTCCACCGGTGGGCCAGAGAAAAGAGCTGCTGATGGTGCGTTTGTCTCCAGTCGCCTTCCTTAAGCCTCACAGGTGTTTTGTTCTTTTTTTTTTTTATTAGAGCGTATTATATTGTGGTCGTCCCCCTGAAGAAGTCCAAAACTGGCCAGTTCCACAACCAGTACAATACCCCTGAAGAAATGGACTTGGAAGAAGTGAGTTTTGCCTCTTTTCACGCACCTTCCTTTGTAGTACGAAGGCGGCCCAAAACAGTTTGTGATCCTTCTGGATCCGTCTCCTGATGGGGAGGGCAGAATCTTTTGCTGTTCCAAGGCGTGCACCTTTCGGGATCCTCCTCACAAGAGAGGTTTCCTGCCCTAGGGTTTTTAAAAAAATCAGCTGTCTTTGTGGGAGTGTTATCCAAAGAGTGAAATCAAATCTCCATGAACAGGAGCAGTCTATGTCAGATTATTAGTTGTCCTTTGTTAATTGGTGGAGAACATAGAACTTTGACTGGCGCTATTTGAGATACTTAACTGGAACAGTACAGGAAATTTTCATGCTTCAAGGTAGGGTTTGGGCATTCGTCCTGGGAACGAAAGTCTTACAAACCTGATTTCTGGTTTAGCTAAGGATGCATACCATGGGGGACAGCGCAGAATGAACTTGTCAGGAGGAGCTGGAGAAAGGTGGAGTAGAAGGATGGAGGTCCAGAGCTAGACTTTGTGTTCTTTCTTGAGATCTCCATGAAATCATACACGGTGTCCTGGCTGTCTGAACTGTGCCTTTTGGTGCAGTTGTACATCGGAGACGAACGTCATCGATATATTTGTTTCTTCTGGCATTAGGCTACTTTCGTTTCCTTGTGGCTGTCACGCTGTTGACTCCGTACGAATTTCTCATCAACCATCGTCCCAGAACACAAAAATGACGTCCTCTGATTTCCAGCCCTGTTGCAAACGAGAAACGGAGATTAAAAACCAGTTTTCAGTCCCCAACTCCGGCAAAGCCAGGGAAACGATTGCAAAGTTATGGGATGGCTGCAGTGACGTCCAGCCGGTCGCTGTGTTTGCAGGTGGCCACCCAAAAAAAGGCCGGGAAAACCATCACCAAGAACAGGGTCTTCTCGGCGTTAGTTCCTACGCTAGCTGTGTCTTTTGGTGCAGATATAGGTCAGGTTCCCTCCCTCTTGGTTTTCAGGGAAAAGGGCAGAAACCTTGTTTGAATAAGCCTTTAGAAATACCGTACCTCTTTGACATCCTCATGGGCCCATGAATTGACTATTGATTTTGATTTGCCATCCAGATTTCTTTCTTTTTTTGCTATCCTGGTTTTTCAGTGTTTATTGGTTGCCTTGATCTCCTTGCGGGTGTGATTTGGGTGGGTGTGTTTTAACCTAGGGAGTCAAGAGATAAAAGGAACAACAGGAAAGTTTGGCCTTGGAGTTCAGAACGAAGCAGGACAAAGGCTAATAGAGTTTTGTCAAGAGAACAAGCTGGTCATCACAAATACTCTTTCCCAACTACACATGGAAATCACCAGATGGGCAATACCGTAATCAGATTGACTATATTCTCAGCAGCCAAAGATGTCAGCAAAAACAAGACCTGGAGCTGATTGTGGCTCTGATCATCAGCTTCTCATAGCAAAATTCAAGCTTAAACTGAAGAGAGTAGGAAAAACCACTGGGCTACTCAGGTATAATCTAAACCAAATCCCTTATGAATACACAGTGGAAGTGAAGAACAGATTTAAGGAACTCGAGTTGGTGAACAGAGTGCCTGAAGAACTTTGGATAGAGGCTCGTAACACTGTACAGGAGGCAGCAACAAAAACCATCCCAAAGAAAAGGAAATGCAAGAAAGCAAAGTGGCTGTCCAACGAGGCCTTAGAAATAGCAGAGAGGAGAAGGGAAGCAAAATGCAAGGGAGATAGGGAAAGTTACAGAAAATTGAATGCAGACTTCCAAAGAA